CCCCAAAACCCCAAAACCCCAAAACCCCAAAACCCCAAAACCCCAAAACCCCTGAGGATGAGGAGTAAGTTGAAAGGCTTTTTAGGGAGGTTAGGCTGACCTGGAGTTACGGCAGAGTTGTTTAAGGCGTTTGAATTGTTTGGAATTGAGCTTGATTGTTTTGAGTTGGCCGGATTCTGAGATTTTTATACCTAGGGTTAAGGGAGAGCTTACTTTTGTTAATCCATTCTCCGCTTCTGAAACCATATTGGTTTCCTACAGTGCTTGAGCTGGTGTTTCCAATGTCTAGAGAGGGTTGTTTTCGATTGAGAAGGGATTTTGATTTACCGAACATTTTAAGTGACCGCAATAGTTTATTTGAACGGTTCATCAATTTCCAAGGCTTATCTGAGTAATACTTGTTCTTTTTGTATTTCAGCTCCTATAAAATTATTATAACAAAATAAAAATATTTTATATTAAAAGATCAAATGTTAATAGATTTTTGGAGAACAATTAAACAAGGAAAGCAAAGCAAGGATTTTACCTCTTTCCTTCTTTTCTCAAATATCCTGAATTTTGCCATTTGGATACCTTGCTCTGTCATCACCCGATCTTGATTAGTATGTTTGTTTATCATTCTATTGAATTCTTTATTTTATCATCTGACTCATCTACCAAAAATTACGAATTACCAAAATTAAAATTCTCTCAAATCAATTCCTAAGCAACTAGGATTTCCAAAATGCTCAATTCCTAATTCCAATGAATCTCTTACATGTTTTGAGGACTTGATCGACCTATAAACAGATGATTTTGAAAAATCTCTTCACCTAAAAGCCCATTGAGACACTTACTTAGTCTCAGCTTTTCTCATATTTCTGAATATCGTATGTATTGTATCTCTGACTACAAAAAGGTGTTATCCTCAAGCATGAATGTATGGCAGAAGAAGCCTGGAAGGGAAGAAAGCTGTTCTGTGCACTTACATTTATAATCAAAATGGTTTCTCTTGAGGTGCTTCTCTACAGAAATTAGGCTAAGAGGGAAAAGCAGCTTACGGGATCTAGATCAAGCGGTTAATTAAGAAAGAGCTTACATTAGGCTCGTAGATTCTTGCAGAAGCGAGCTGTGATAACGGCTGTCACGCTCTTCAACGCTCATTGCCTCTAGCTTGGGAAATGAGTCTAGTAAAAGAATTTAAAGGTCAAATCATTTGGATATGGTATGAGAGATGTAAATTTGAAATTCACATGAAGTCAAAATTGAGGTTTTATAAAGATCTTTGAGAGAAATTCTCTTCGTTACTTTTTCCATAGAAAAGCTGATGGTGCTTGGAATTCATATCTACAGAATTAAGCTCATTTCTAACTTTTAGATATCTTCTTTAAATGTTCATTCTTATGTTTTTCCATACATTCCTTGACAGCTTCTAAAGATTAGTCTAAAAGTGTGCCATTAAGTTCTTTCTTTGACTTCTTTTGAAGAGCAAGCTTTTTAGTTAAATGCTCCAATTTCAGATGTAAAGTTTTTGGGGATTCCTTTTTAGCAACAATCTTAAATTTATGCCACTAATATACCTTATTTTCGGACAATTTGTGGGCTTTTCTTGGACTATATGTTGCTACAATAAAACTTACTGAGAGAGGAGTTATTGGCTTCAGGATATTTAAACTTGAAAGGTTAGAAACAGTTGACATTCTTTTCATTGCTACTTTCTTTTCGATGGAAGATTTCCTTTTAAAATTCTAGAATGAGACTAAAAATATACCTCATAAGGAGTTGAAGTCAGATAGGCATCTTTTATTGATGAACGACCACTGTGGTCACTAGCGTAGCTCAGTGTGTCGGGCTGTTCAATAAACTTCTTCTTGAATCTAGGAACTAGATTCATGGTCGGCTTCATACTGATAGCAGGAGGTCTATTTTTGGAAAAAGAAAGTGTCCTCATGCTCACTTTTTGAGTCTTCACTTTGACTTTTCTTCGATTCCTCAGAATCTTGATGTTAGTCTATAAATTTACCAAGATTTTGAATCTGGATTCCTAAAAATTTCTGTTCTCTTCCCATCGCCATTCCAGATCTTCTTTTATTAATAACAGGGGAATAACTCATTTTCTTATTTTTAAGAGTACTTAAGCTATGCTGATATGGATCAAAACTGTCATTCTTAGCTCCTGTATAATTAAAGTAAGGAATCTCTCCCAAAATGGGTATTTTCTTATTTTAACATCTCATTTTTATCAAAATTATTATGCCAAATTCTCTGTCATGGTAAGGTCTTACCTGTGCTGCCAGAAATGATACTATCATTGTTCTTAAATTGTAATCTTTTATTCATATTTTTCAAATATACTAAATAATTTTGGGGTTTTGGGGTTTTGGGGTTTTGGGGTTTTGGGG